ACGTGTCGATCACAGCCTATTAGAATTTTATAATAATGTGAAATCATTTGGTTTTTTTAAAATAATTTATTTGTTAATGCAGATTATTAGTTTGGATTCTAAAGTGTAGTTGGTACAATTCAGTCAGAGGTGTCTCTTTAACGTACAGTGATTTCTCACTTGAAATGAGATCAGAATAACGGTCACATAAACTAGGTAGAGACATATTTTGCTTGTTTGACTTGCAAATGCAGTCCAAGACTATTCCGATTATACATTGAATTGCTCCATATGATATCTCCATATAATTAATTATTATATAGCTCAATTTAAACCCTCATTGAGTAAGATGGATACTGCCTCATTTAACACCTTCTTATTAACTCCACCTATTACTCCAAATAACCTTTCTATATAACTCATTCTATTACTCTATAAAACCACTCCCTATAACTCCTCCTGTTACTCCACATAATCTCTCCCTATAACACCTCCTATTACTCCATATAACCTCTCTATAACTCCTCCTATCATTCCATATAACCTCTCCCTATAACTCCTCCTATTACTCCATATAACCTCTCCCTATAACTCCTCCTGTTACTCCACATAATCTCTCCCTATAACACCTCCTATTACTCCATATAAACTCTCCCTATAACTCCTCCTATTACTCCATATAACCTCTCCCTATAACTCCTCCTATTACTCCATATAACCTCTCTATAGCTCCTCCTATTACTCCATATAACCTCTCCCTATAACTCCTCCTATTACTCCATATAACCTCTCTATAACTCCTCCTATTACTCCATATAACCTCTCCCTATAACTCCTCCTATTACTCCATATAACCTCTCTATAGCTCCTCCTATTACTCCATATAACCTCTCCCTATAACTCCTCCTATTACTCCATATAACCTCTCCCTATAACTCCTCCTATTACTCCCTATAACCTTTCTATAACTCCTCCTATTACTCCATTTAACCTCTCTCTATAACTCCTCCTATTACTCCATATAACCTCTCTCTAGAACTCCTCCTATTACTCCATATAGCCTCTCTCTAGAACTCCTCCTATTACTCCATATAACCTCTCTCTAGAACTCCTCCTATTACTCCATATAACCTCTCTCTAGAACTCCTCCTATTACTCCATATAACCTCTCCCTATAACTCCTATTACTCCATATAACCTCTCCCTATAACTCCTCCTATTACGCTATATAACCTCTCTCTATAACTCCTCCTATTACTCCATATAACCTCTCCCTATAACTCCTCCTATTACTCCATATAACCTCTCTCTATACTCCTCCTATTACTCCATATAACCTCTCCCTATAGCTCCTCCTATTACTCCATATAACCTCTCTCTATATCTCTCCTATTACTCCATATAACCTCTCCCTATAACTCCTCCTATTACTCCATATAACCTCTCCCTATAGCTCCTCCTATTACTCCATATAACCTCTCCCTATAACTCCTCCTATTACTCCATATAACCTCTCTCTATAACTCCTCCTATTGCTCCATAACCTCTCTCTATAACTCCTCCTATTACTCCATATAACCTCTCCCTATAACTCCTCCTATTACTCCATATAACCTCTCCCTATAACTCCTATTACTCCATATAACCTCTCCCTATAACTCCTCCTATTACTCCATATAACCTCTCCCTATAACTCCTCCTATTACTCCATATAACCTCTCTCTATAACTCCTCCTATTACTCCATATAACCTCTCCCTATAACTCCTCCTATTACTCCATATAACCTCTCTCTATAACTCCTCCTATTACTCCATATAACCTCTCTCTATAACTCCTCCTATTACTCCATATAACCTCTCCCTATAACTCCTCCTATTACTCCATATAACCTCTCCCTATAACTCCTCCTATTACTCCATATAACCTCTCCCTATAACTCCTCCTATTACTCCATATAACCTCTCTCTATAACTCCTCCTATTACTCCATATAACCTCTCCCTATAACTCCTCCTATTACTCCATATAACCTCTCTCTATAACTCCTCCTATTACTCCATATAACCTCTCCCTATAACTCCTCCTATTACTCCATATAACCTCTCTCTATAACTCCTCCTATTACTCCATATAACCTCTCTCTATAACTCCTCCTATTACTCCATATAACCTCTCCCTATAACTCCTCCTATTACTCCATATAACCTCTCTCTATAACTCCTCCTATTACTCCATATAGCCTCTCCCTATAACTCCTCCTATTACTCCATATAACCTCTCTCTCTATAACTCCTCCTATTACTCCAAATAACCTCTCTCTATAACTCCTCCTATTACTCCATATAACCTCTCTTATACTCCTCCTATTACTCCATATAACCTCTCTCTATAACTCCTCCTATTACTCCATATAACCTCTCCCTATAACTCCTCCTATTACTCCATATAACCTCTCTCTATAACTCCTCTATTACTCCATATAACCTCTCTCTATACTCCTATTACTCCTAACCTCTCCCTATAACTCCTCCTATTACTCCATATAACCTCTCTCTATAACTCCTCCTATTACTCCATATAACCTCTCCCTATAACTCCTCCTATTACTCCATATAACCTCTCCCTATAACTCCTCCTATTACTCCATATAACCTCTCTCTATAACTCCTCCTATTACTCCATATAACCTCTCCCTATAACTCCTCCTATTACTCCATATAACCTCTCCCTATACTCCTCCTATTACTCCATATAACCTCTCCCTATAACTCCTCTATTACTCCATATAACCTCTCTCTATAATATTACTCCATATAACCTCTCCCTATAACTCCTCCTATTACTCCATATAACCTCTCCCTATAACTCCTCCTATTACTCCATATAACCTCTCTCTATAACTCCTCCTATTACTCCATATAACCTCTCCCTATAACTCCTCCTATTACTCCATATAATATCCCCCTATAACTCCTCCTATTACTCCATATAACCTCTCTCTATAACTCCTCCTATTACTCCATATAACCTCTCACTATACGTAATGAATAGTGTAAACTTTCCAAAATAGCCCAGGTATTTCACCATCATTTTCCTGTAACGGTTCCTAGAATCTCTGTGTATTCTGTAGCTTGGAGGAGGGGAGCCCTCTGCTGGACAAGTGACAAGCAAGTAAATACATGAATTAGATAATACCGCTGTCTACATATATGAATAACGTGGTCAATGGTGGGTTGTTGTTTTTTTTAAACAGTTTTTTATTGAATGGATTAACGTATAGCTGAGGACACTAAGAGGTGAATGCCAGATCAAGCAAATGTTTGCAAACACAAAAAAACAAAAAAACAAAAAAAACTCAAAAAACATTTGCTGCATAGTTCAGAAAAATCAGTCATATACAATAAAAACAAAGAAAACAAACAAATAAAGAAACAATTAGATGCAGAATTTAGGGGAACATGAGAGTAAGGGATAGAAGGAATAGAAGTGAGACAGAAGAGGTAAGAAACGCTGGTTATTGGGGGATACAAGGTATCCCAAGAAGTCTGTATTTATCACAGTGTCTTTTGGATTTGGTTTGCTGATGGAAGGAACGAACCAGAGTAACAATGCTAGTGTTTAAATATTGGAAACATGGGGGCGGGGCCTGACTGCAGGACTGAGAGGAAGCAAACCTCTGCAGCTCCTGCCGAACAGCACTGTAAATCGTGGAAAAAGCCACAAAAAACGGCACCACTATGCTGCACAAGGGCCATCAAGAGACTGAAGGCACCGGGACACACACGATGATACCAAACAAGCGACAACCGCCCCGGTACACGCTGGTCCTACAGATGAGGCCTACCCGCATGGTGGGTGCGGGACGGACGGCCGCCATCTCGCCACCAGTAGCACCAAGAAACGTGACTCAAAACACCCGTTCCCCCCCCTATGGACCGGTGGGGGTCATCCCGGTCTGCCCCTATGCAACTCCCCAGCAGAACGAGGAGAGGGAGACAGAGACGCAGATGCCTGAGCCTAACAATAAAGAAGACCTCAAAATGGCGGATGTACTTTACGCTGCAGGCCCAGACAGCGTGGAGCTAGAAACAGAACTCCGACTGAATAAAATCTTCGATGCCTTCTGGAAGAAATTGGAGTCTCGCATGAGACCCCACGCTCCTGATTATAACTCACAATGGGGCCCACAACGAGCTGATAAGCAGAGAGTAACGATACCCAACCCCAACTACAAACACGCAGTCAACCGTCGCCTGCAAAGGGCAATCGGGGGGCCTAACACCCAAAGCCTCACCAAAAACAGCAGCAGACCAAGGCCATTAATTGCGACCGCGTGGGTACTTAAGGGGCATTGGTCTGAGCAACCTACCTTAAAAGCACACAATCAGCATGAGACCCGGCAGAGCAAGCCAGAACAGAAACGAATGGTGAGCCGACGGGTCGGGAGGCCCGACAAGAAGACCGCAACAGAGAGACTGTACAGGAGCCACAACGGCCCGCGACAAAGCCTTGAGGAGTGCCGAGCAGTGGGAAACGCGAAAGGGATTCTATGTGCCACTACAGGCACAATGCCCCAGGACACGGGGACCACACGCACCTTTACCCCTCATTCCTACAGCAGGTCACAATCATTGCAGCTATTGGGACTCTTCCAAATGGGCATAGGCTGATCTTAAGGCACACAGCTACCGGACAGCCAAATGACCTCAGGACACGAATGCACCCCAGATTGGCCTCAACCGGTGGTATTTTGAACCTGATCTTGTGTTCCCTCCCTCATGTGTTTGCCTGGGCTCCCGGCGACTGCCGCCGAGACCCAGAGACACACTCGCAGTATAGTCTGACATTATATTTCAGCATGTTTATAATCGTTATCAGTTCTGTTTATAATGCCTACATCATTGATGGGCTGCACTAGTTACTCCAAAACCATGCCGCCAAAAGCAGTGGTGTTAACAGTTATTTGAATCAGACCAGTTAACCCTTGATAATGCAGAAAATACTTATGCTTAGATTACGCAGGGATGCTACCTAGACGTATAGGCAAGATGAAGCAATGTTTTTATATGTTCTTTAGCACCTTACAGCATATCTATATATAGCACACCATGTCCAGGCTCCACACACAGACCTACCTCTGCCACACTGTAACACAAGCTACCACTCCTCAAACACACTAATTTACCTAATCTAGAGCCGTTGAGCATCACCTATCCAATCTCACTCTACCTTCACGCAAACACTGCTCAGCTAAGCTTTAAGTATACATATATACGAACTGCACCCACATGTTATATAGCTCAAACCCAAGCATGTTGTATTGTTATTATTATGCTCGCACTGACCTATCAGTCTAGATAGCAAAGCCCCACGTAACAATGTATGAAAAGCTTAGCCTAGACCTTGATCACTAGCCTACTGAATACTTCTCTATCATAAAAAAGAAAATGTGCAATGTATATTAAGCCACACTGTTGTTTTCCTTTGTTTACTGCTTTGTTTGCACTTGCTATCGTGGCACTGCAAATCTGCTTGTTAACTCATGCACAACCTAAATAAAGAATTAAAAAAAAAATAAAAAAATATTGGAAACATTTCTGAGATTTTTATTATTTTTTTATTGTGAAGAGTTTGAAGTCAATTTATGTGAAAGAGAACTGCAATTGGGTAATGCTCAATGTATTGACGGAAGGTGTGTGTTTGTCACATAGTATGTCCTACATTCTAGCGACAGAGCATGCAGAGAGAGAGCAGTAGGAGCCATTATTATTATTAATATTATTATTATTAATACTGCCATTTATAATAATAATAAAGGATAAAGAGGGTTCTGTGTTGTTATTTTGTCACGTGTAAATAAAGATTTATTTATCTATTTAATTTAAAAAGAGCGTTCTGACACTCTAAGGTAGACAATGCAGACAGAGCTGGGTTAAATTAGGGGTCAGGGGTTCCAGGCCCATTCCCATGCAATATGCCATTAGAAAATTAATAAATAAATAAAAATATGTGAATTTATATATATATATATATGAATATGACTATGAATAGTTTGGTGTGTGTGATTGGATGAATATGACCAGTTTGATGTGTGTGATTGGATGAATATGACTAGTTTGGTGTGTGTGTGTGATTGGATGAATATGACTAGTTTGGTGTGTGTGTGTGATTGGATGAATATTTTATCTGGCCAACTGTGTGAATGTACACTGTGAGTGGGTATGACTGGGAGGGTAAGACTATCTGACTGGGTGTATGGGGGAATATGATCAGTTTGGACATGTGACTGGTTGGGTAGCTGAATGGCAGTGTGTATGTGGGAGCACATTTGTGTGACCTGTTAGTAATTGCATATGAATTATGGGTGTATTTGTGTAGAGAGCTAGTGTATGAATATAGTAGTTTGTTTTCATAGAGTGCTGGTGTGTGTATTTAGTGTGTATATATAGGTGTGTTATTACACTGTTTCCTTTTTAAGTCTGCCCTTTAATATAGAAACATAGACTGTGACGTCAGATAAGAACCATTCGGCCCATCTAGTCTGCCCAATTTTCTAAATACTTTCATTAGTCCCTAGCCTTATCTTATAGTTAGGATAGCCTTATGCCTATCCCACGCATGCTTAAACTCCTTTACTGTGTTAACCTCTACCACTTCAGCTGGAAGGCTATTCCATGCATCCACTACCCTCTCAGTAAAGTAATACTTCCTGATATTATTTTTAAACCTTTGTCCCTCTAATTTAAGACTATGTCCTCTTGTTGTGGTAGTTTTTCTTCTTTTAAATATAGTCTCCTCCTTTACTGTGTTGATTCCCTTTATATATTTAAATGTTTCTATCATATCCCCCCTGTCTCGTCTTTCCTCCAAGCTATACATGTTAAGATCCTTTAACCTTTCCTGGTAAGTTTTATCCCGCAATCGGGATCGGGAAGCTTTATCCCGCAATATCTCCCTCCAGCCCACTCTGTTCGTTTATCTCTCCGTCACATGTGTTCCTGATCACTCTCCCCATAACCGTCCCTTTCTACAATTGTTCCCCTCTTCCTCCTCCCAATCCCTTATTTGTCCTCCTTTTCTTCCTTCCCATTCCTCACTTGTTCCCGTCCCCTCACTTTTTCTCTTCCTTATCCCTTAAAAACACTGTTCTTTTCTTCTGTCTTCTTGTTCACTAATTTTTTCATTTATTTTCTCCTCCACAGGCAGCCGGAAGTAGAGAAAGTTGCGCAGGGTTTTGACGGTGAGGTCAACTCCGCAAGCTCTCCTGCAGTTCCTTTGACTGCCAGCTGGGTGTCAGGATATGCAAAAGTCCTGAGTATAAGGACTAACGCCAGCAAAGCTGGAGCAGACTTCCACTGCTCTCTCCTTGTGAGTTTATTTCATTTGCTTACATTACCTTCTGTGGTGTTACAATATTACACTATATTTCTCCTTTTTTCTTTTTCATCCATTATGTCTCAATGTATTCATGGGAGATAATTCTGAAGTCCCTCATTTAATTTTCATAGTAAGTTTTTATTATTCTTTATCACTTTGTGCACTTTGAATTTATATGCACTTTATTGTATTTATCACATACAGAATATAGCACTCTGTAAGTGCACTGTCACATGCATTGTGTGCACTTTATGTATGCACTAAATAATTTAAAGGTATAGCGCACCTTTTTTATTGTGGGTGACAGGATATACCACTGTGGGTGCCGAGTGAGAAGGGGAAAGAGCTATTCTCCTTCTTGCCCGAATACTCCTGTTGTATCACCAACGATACATGGCCCAGCAGTGCTGCTCAACTCCCTTGGGCCGCCCCGAGGCCATGACCTTAGTGGCCTTCTGGGAAATCCGACCCTAGTGGCAGTGTGGCGAGTGATATGGGGTGAATGTAATCGAGTGAGGAGAAGTGATTTAGACAGGGTGAGGGGTGGTGAGGGTGACAAGGTTGGGGGATGAGTGGCTGTTGTAGGGTGGTGACAATGTATGTGTGGGTAGAGTGACATTATGTAGCGATGCTGTGTTAAACACAGTCTACCCACACAATAATGTTTTTTAATTTATTTTAATATTAAATTTGCCGGCCCCCTCCCCCCACCCCCTGCTTACATTCCCTGGTGGTCTGGTATCTTTCCTCATGGTCCTGTGTGCTCTCGGTGCAGACACAGGTCTTCCGGTCCAGCACTGTGATGAAGTCAGAGTGGAGGCTGGGAATCCTGACATCTATGCTCTGACTCTCTTACAAATCTCATGAACCGTGAGGGATCATAATTAGACCACCACGAATCATTCGCAGGGAGCTCTTTTGATCCTACTTCCAGTTTGAGGGAAGCCCACTCAGAATCAGAGCTCCAGGCTCAAAGAGGGGGCCCACCGAGCCCCTATATAAGCTGGGGTCCAAGTACCTGCCTTGTCGCCTTATCAGTAATCTGGCTGTGCCTACACTTAGTCCCTTACCTTTTCCTATTCTCCTTATTAGTCTTAAACTAAACAGGTCTTACATTATTATTTATAAAGCGCCAACAGATTCCGCAGTGCTGTACAAAATTCAATTTACATTTCCATTAGAACAGTGCATCTAAGCTGCAGGTCTCCCTTTTTCCTATGACCTGTTTTTTTATTTTGTTTTTTTTTTCTACTAATTATACAGTAATTTTTACTAATAAAACAGTATTTTTTTTACTAACGCTATATTGCAGAGGAGTGAATGTGAAATGTTACGATTGTTCCTGAACTGGGCTGACTGTGATGTCACTAGACCAGACCTTTCCATTTTGGTAGCTCTCCTTTCCAAGGTGTCGAGCTCGGAATGTGTCCTATGTGTGAATAATGTAGTGGTAAAACAACAATCACTATGTACAACCGAGCTACTACTATTAAATAAAACATTAGCAAATCAAGCGGTATGCTTATTTTTATATATCAAGGCAGGATCTAATCAACATAAAAAAGTAAGAGCTACAGGTACATTAGTTCTGTAATATAAATATATTCGCATATGGATCCTTCTACTTTGACTTATTATATATTGTATAATATTTCACTAAATTTGCTTCTGTTCAAATATATTGTAACAGCTGATTTCTTTTTTTTTTTTTACTTTTTTTTTGCAGTAAATATATTTTATATTAATAATCATTAAAAAAAAACATATCAGTAAAGAAGTAACAAAACAAAATAAAACAACAGAATAAAGTTCTTTATTTTTTTTTCTTTATCGGAATAAATTGGCTTTGGATAACAGTGATTTCTTATTTACGTTTTGTGCGTTTATTGGATAGAGCAAGATTCTTAATGGATGTATCAATAATGAATGTCACTTCCACAATGTTTTCCACATGTGAATATTTTATATGATTTTTTTTTTTACTATGCTTTTAAGAAGAAAAAAAATAATAAATTCACAGTGCAAAAAAACAAACCTTCCAGACAGGCCCCCAAGCTCTGTAACCTCTCAGTGACTGAGGCTGCTGTAATTTATTTTGGATTGAATTCTACTGATGTTAAAAAAACATGTATAATATTTTAACACATATATACTATATAGGGGTATTTTATCTAAATATATATATTTCTTTTGCGATTTTTTTTTGAAAGTCTAAAATGTACGATATGATATATTTATCTAAGAAAATACATGAAAATTTTATTGCATATAAATAAAATTGGGAGTCCATGGGATGGGTTTATTAAAATATTTTTACGTTTACAATACATATCATAAATGCACTTTGATGTTTTATCGGGGTCTATTATTTTTTTTTCCTTTCAACGTCATCTGTTTTGTTACTAGAAGATGAATCTTCAGATTGAGAGGGGAGATCAAAAATGAGCCGCTCAAGTTTTTTGCAAGCTGGCTGTAGGATCTATAATCCAATTAACCAAAAGAACCAGACTAAAATGTCTAGATCAATCTTAAATTAGGTTAATATTCAATCCATAATCACATTAATGACAATCTGCCCATAATTAGCTATTTGATAATCCCTAAGAGCATACAGACTGCTACTATCAAGAGGACTGAGTCCATTGACATGTAACTTAAGATAATGCTGTCATCTACTGCACACGCCGAATACTAAAACTACATGGGTACGTATTAATCAGGTCATCAGTGGGTTCTAGAACTGCGTGGTGTGGGGATTGATGAGTCAGGTAAAAGAGACAGAAAAAAAAATCCAATATAAAAGAATCAATCCCAAATCCACAGACATCCTAGATAAATAATCTTAACAGATCTTATCATAATTACCGTACAATTAGTAAATTACATCTACTTGATCTTGGGGACTCCTGTTCTAAGCTGTCAAAATCCAATAAAGTTATAAACAATCTGTCCACTAATGAATTTATTAAGAACAGATGTATCAAACAGATAAGAGCAGAACTCCTTTCTAGAATAAGTATCAATTGGGCTACTTTTAAATTAGAGTGCTGTCCGACGTTGTATAGTCTTCACAAACCTCCACATTAAGATACACAATTAGGATTTCCTTTAATTTGTGAAAAGAAAATTCAGTTTGGTGTTTGAAACTCTACACTCATTAAGG